TATATATATACTGTATATGTCACTCTCTCCTGAAAGATATAAATACTGACAATAAGGATTTRCATTTCTTTAGTCAAAATCTAGCTTAATATCTTTACAACTGACTGAGGTAAAGGCATTTTTCTGCAGGCTAATGTTGATTAGCTGTGGTCACCATCTTGAGATAGGTTGACCCAAAAAGATAATCTGTAGATGTACAAACATTACTTTTAATACTTTCTGCAAGTTTATTGAAATGTCTTTTTTGCTAATAGTGTTGACAACAACAGSTAATGCAAAGTTTTAAGTAAAGATGTTGTGCAATGTGTTGTGCTTGAAGTGCAGATAAGGACCACCTCATCAACTRCTACCAAGTTATAGATTAATGGGCACCGTGGCATCTGTGTTTTATTTGCAGCCAATTGCATTTTCTTGTTTGTCCTCCTATTTTTTTTCTCTATTCCACCAGCTGTGCTTTAATTCCTTTTTGCATTTCATTGATCTCATTTTATGTTTTTTTTAATGCTTTACTTAACGTAATGTCCCAATCTTTTACTTTTTTTCTCTCCTCTTTGTCTCATCTCCCCGCTGGAGCGCTGGAGGACAACGTGACAAACTAATCGCTCTCCTTGTCCGAGCTCAACACTGTTTGCCTTGCAGGGCCAGATTAAAGTTCACAGATAGAGAGAGGCTCCTGCTTAGGCCAGGTGTTGACAGTTGAGATAAAGCAGAGTTGCAAGGAAGTGGAGCTGGCTGGATGGGTGTGGGGAAGAGAGGAATTGTTTGCCTGTGTGTTCCTGCTCATATAGTCTAGGCTTTTGTAATCTTTAGAAGAGCTGTTGCTCCAGCTTAGTCGTTGAAAATCACCCAAGTTCAATGTCAGGGCGGACAACAATGCTCTGGCCCACAAATCCTGCCACCAATCAAGTCATGCATAGCAGACATACTTTTCCCATAGCAGGCTTCCAGCCCCTGCCTACTGTCTTCTTATGCAGCTGCCCCTCCTTTTGCAGAAACATGTCTTTAACTTGTGAAGCAACTCCTTGAATGCATGGAGTTCTCAGGAAGTTTGGCTTAAAACTTACTCACTATTGTCTTATGTAGGTCTGTTCTTATTTTCAAGGAAAACAAATACTTTATATTACTCTTAGAGGGAGCCATTGGTTTGCTGTCTGAGTAAGAATCAGTTTAGGACAGTGTATTGTTCACAAACAAAGATAAAAATGATAACCCTGCTTTTTCTCTCTGCTTCATAACTATTTCTCTGGTTTAACAAAGCAGAGATCTCCTGGGTCAGGGGTCTTCTGTAGCTCTGGAGTCTGTTTTTGGTCTAACTGATGATTTTGTGACCAAAAATTTAAATATAATTTAYAATTTTTATTTTAAAAATATTTATCTTAGCCGTTTTTATGGTCCACTTAAATATGTAAATGACACATTTGTGACAGAATATTGATAACATAAAGAAAACATATTGATCATTGAGTGTTAGCAGTTTATTAATTGCAACTTCCAGCTATTCAGGGTGATTTTCTCTAAAATTGATCAAGCATTTAAACAATTTTAACGCCTTTGAGGCAAGAAGTTGGTTTGAAAGAACGTTTATGCATACTGTATATGAGCAACTAGTTTTTAATTAAATTGACACTAATAAATATGTAATTAACTGTCATAATGTTTAAATTCACTTGAACACTTTACTTGGCTGCAAATGTGCTTTATTATTTTAAAGTGAAACACTTATACGTAATAATTTATGACTCACTTTAACTAAATTTCATCAACATGGGTTTTTTGTCCATTACTGCACATCTTTATTTATTTTATAAGTAATTTATGTAAGTAATGGACATTAGATTGAATGTAGAGYATTTTATAAACATTGTATTTAAGTTTCAAGTATGTTTTGCAGCTCTGAGTTTTATTTAGCAAAAGAAGGAGCAGGAAACTTCATTGCAAAGTTTGCTGCACTAGAGAGGGGTTACAGGCATTAAATAAACTCAATCTCTTGAATATGCCTCTGCCCTTTTCATTTTCTGCAACATTTTGTCCTTTCTGATTCTTCTGTCCCTAATTTTTTATGTGAACCATTAGGSCTTGTTTATTTCCTCCATGCTTTTTCTGTACTTTTTTTCCAGCAATTGCTGCAGATTAACTCTTGGATTTTGGAGGGCCTGAACTCATCTCATGAGTGTCTGTGAGGAGAGGAAGACTGAAGAGGAAGACTGCAGCTGTGCTATGGTGCAGCACAGTGAAGAGGGGGGYCTCGTCCGGGCTCCTTGGAACAATATAAAAGCACCAATCACCCAGGACAGCTGACACCCAGTGCCTCACACGTATATACTAACTGTATCTCTCAGATGTGCTCACACATATGCAAAGATCTGAGGGTTGCCACTGGAGGAGCTCTGCCTGGACAAGACTCGCAGGACCTGCTAGAAAACAAAGTCTGTGTTTTGTCTATGTGTGCTAACACTTCACGGCTAAAAGCACCCTCTTATAAAGATGCACATATGCATATATCTTTGTTGTACTGTATTAAAGCGTTAAAATAGAAACTTAAAGGCACTTAAGCACATCAGAGTGTTTAGGAAATTTTCTCCTCATGCATGGATGTACGCTGAATCAAACACACATGCTTAGTCTGGAACACAAACCACAGAATGGACTGGCTGCACACACACACACACACACACACACACACACACACACACACACACACACACACACACACNCACACACACACACACACACACACACACACACACACACACACACACACACACACGTGCATGCACAAAAGTGTCTTCGGGAATTTGACCTTTTCCCAAAAGCCTCCCTTTCCTGCCTTTGCTCCCCTCCCCCTCTGGCTGTGTGAAGACTGAAGGGGTCAAGGGTTAGGTTTTGGGGGGCTGAAGATTAGGTTTCACATGACTGAGCACCTTTGTTGGGGCAGGCCAGCAAAAAGGAAACGTCCAGGAGGGTAGCCGTGTCTGTCTGAGAGAAAAAAAAAAGAAAAAGAAAAAGGAGGGGGAAGGGAGAAAAAAGAGACGGATGGACGGACGAACGGACAAGGCTTTAGTTGAGGTCTGTCTGGGCAGAGACGACTGAAGCTGAAGTGCGAGATCAAGGAGGAAGTGCACAAGAAGCACGGGGCAGAGGACAGGGACAGAAAATGAGAAAATGCGAGCGCACAAAAGAGTAAAACTTCATCCAAAACGCCTGACTTCATGGCTGCGCTGGCCTCTCTCCTCACACCTCTCCTTTACTTTCTGACCATGTGGCTTCTGTGTCGGGCTGCAGCCAGCCAGCGTCCTCAGCGCCTGCTGGCTGCGCCGATTTCCCCCCGTGGCCACACAGCGAGAAGAAAGTTCCAGCCAAAACAGTAAAATGGATCACAGCGGAATAAAACCCCTCCTCCTCCCCATTCTCTCTACTTCACAACATCTGAGATGCAGTCTGCCTGCTGCACAATCTGTGCTGCAACTGGCAGGGAGAAACCTTGGCAAAGTCCTGGATTACCTCGCTCGTGAAGTAATGTTTTAAATGTCTGTAAGTGTGTGACTTTTTTTCTACACATCTCAGAGCCGGAGAAAAGGATTTTAATGATGTGCAACAGTTTCAACAAAATGACTCACAGAGGTGGGACTGGTACTGCTGATGGCTTCCAGATAAGGTGAAAACTTTGACCTTAGAGTGAAAAAGAGGGACGGGGGCAGCGGGTGAGGGAGGAAAGAATGTGTTGAATATATCAAAATGCAGGCCATAACTGGGATGACTTTCTTCTGGTTTCATGCTACAGCATCACACATGATCTTTGGCCTTTAATATTGACTTTGTGGACATAGCATTCCTTAAAGGGTCAGCGCTTTGAAGTGATGTTCTGGTAAATAGTTATCAATAGTTTGCATCTTATCCTCTGAAGTTAGAGCATCGAGTATGGAGAAAAAGGCAAAAGTCTTCATCCAGACTAAATGGTTGGCCAAACAAGTGACAGTTTTAGATTGTTTTTAAGGCTAATAAAAACAAACTTTTTTGAAAAATTGACACACCGTAGTGAAAAAAAAGCTATAAATCGCTACACTGTTGCACAACACTGTTTTAGTCACTACAGAAAAGACATCTGATCAAAGCTTCTACAGTTCTACAGGTGCTTCTTTTTTCTTAACTAAACCCGGCCAACCTGATGACCATATCTGGTTCTTTAAAGGGCCAATATTATGTGTTTCTCAGGCATACATTTAAATACTATACCATAATAAAGTGTCTATGTCACCTTTAGCTGTTATTAAAATGCTGTTTCTATGTTTAAATAGAAAATAAACTTATCTTCTCATCACTT